TTTTACTTTTATTTATTTTTATATTACTCTATTTACTTAAGTTTACAATGTAAATAAGGAAGTACCCCCCATTTGGATTCAAATAAAAATACTAGAAAATCAAATTCCCACTAAATCAAAATATGAAAAATCGGTTTTAGTGCAAAATATGATTTAGGCTAAAAATAATGGCTCATTAAGTCAATATATACTCCATACTAAAATCCCATAAAATCAAGTTTTCTTATTTGATGTGTAAGGAATAAAAGCCGCCAAAAATTATCTTAAGAAAATGATTATTTCGAAAACCCATTTTTCATACTTAGTCAATATTTTTACATAAAATAACTTTTCATATATAATATGAATGCATGAAAGAATCTAAGATCAATCTACGTAAAAAAAATCTTAGATGTTCAATCCACTATGGTGTTAAACCCTATTTGGTTTATATTAAAACTTATTGAAAATTAGTCTATGAAGCTATGAACTAGCTTGGTTTATATGATTTAATGTTTACTTTTATTTCTAGAAAGACTATAGAAATTGTAAGTATAAAAAAAAAAAAAAATCACTAAATTTTAAAGCTAATAACTTTAGCTAGCCCACCCGTTGAAAAATTTCTGGTTCCGCCCTTGTTTAAAACATTAAAACTATTTGTCATGTCAGATTTAATCTCAACCATTAAAAGTGGAATAATCTAATGGCTCAAAAATTGTGTCAAAATATGTGTCAAAAACATGGTGCCACGGATCCGTCCCCTATATATATATATATATATATATCTCACTCCAGATTATATTTCACTAATCCAAACTGTCTATTTTATAGATACTCATTCAAATATCGTCTCTATAAAAAAATCACTTGAATCCGATATCATTTGACCATTCAATTGAGTTATTGAAGTTTTAGTACTTTCTTAAAACACCTTGTTCATTGATTTTGTAGGACACAATTGGATGTCGAAACAGTTTCCGATTTGTCTAATTTTTTGTAAGGATGATCTATGAATGAAGACCTAAAAAATAGATGGTTTGGATCATTGGAAAAAAAATTATATGGTACCCTAAAGGGCGTTCCTCAAATAAAATTATTTGAGGGATTTCTCAATAGAACCAACTCCCCTAAACCCAACTTCAAAGCCCATATACCTTACCTTTCGTTTTTTGGTAGAAGTCCATATATATAATCAGTACTCGAGATAATTCCGAAATATTTAGGGCTTGTTTGGGCGTGCTTCTCGAAGCGCTTATGTCAGTAGCGTTTATACAAAGAAGAAGTTTGTCGTTTAGATGTCACATTTAAAAGTGCTTTTATACTACATAAAAGCTCTTTTGATATTTTGTTGAGTGTTTGACTGACACAATAAAAACGCTTTTAAAAGTACTTTAAAAAAATTTAAAGAATTCCAAAATATTATAATAAACATAGGAAATAAAAAGGGATATTTACTGATATACCCATTTTTAGCACTAATATTATAAATAAACCCTACACAATTGAATTTCTATAAACAAACTCAAAAAAAACCCAAAAAATGACAGCTGGCCTTATTGAATTTAATATTGATTATTAAATTACTTTGATGCCCTATTAAGTGTTTTGTGTATTTTTATAAGATTTTGGGGTTGAGCTTGTTTTAAGAAATTGATGGCAATTTTATAATTTATAAAAAGTTAAAAGTTTTTTTGTTATGTTGTAAATAGTCTTTGAGTGTGTTTCTAATGTCCATTTCATATGGAGTATTTTTATAATTTGGGCCCTCATATAATGTATAATAGTGCATCTCCCAAATAAAATTTCACAAGATCCCAAAATAAAAACACGACTTAAAAAAGTATGAACTTCACCAAGTATTGACTACCATGCACCTGTGCATCCATACCCTACTCAATGTGCATTAGTGCAAGTTCTCAGTTTCCAATCGTAGTTTAGGTCCTGTTGGATATGCCTCCCGTTATTATCTCACGTATGTTTTTCTGTTTGTTTTAGTGTAGAGCTGGCACGGCGTGAGAAGGAGAGAAGGGAAAGAAGGCAGGGGTGGGTCTGAGGCTCGATTGTTGCTGCCTTAGAGCTATTCCAGCCATGCAGCCCAGCCCGATGGGAGGGGGGAAAAAAACAAAAAACTCGTTCCAGCGGAGAAGCCCAGGCCCGGGGGGGGGGGGGGACCCACCAA